AAATTTAATATCGTACACCACTATAGTGGTTATAGCATTGAAAAATAAGAAATCAAGGAAGAAAAAAAATTAAAAACAAGAAAAGTGTTTTTGCGTCTTCTGTAATATTTACGTTTGCGTACTATGATAACAATAAGTTGAAAAAAACATGTAAATTAAAAAACGTAAAAACATGTTATGTATTTAAAAGAACTTAGTTTTTTGGAGAAGCTCGATTGAAAATCAGGTCTCAGTACAAATTGTCAAAATAACAAGATTCCTGAAACTTTTCGAAAAATAACTATTTAACCCTTTATTATTTGTTTTCTGGATAATTTTTGGATTTTATGAACAGAATGTAGACATAGTGTATTATGTATATCAAAAGACAGATACTTCGGACCCCTTTCATATACTATAATTTATGTTTAGAAAAAAATATGTTAGAGATAATATATCAAAAAATAGGTTTTTAATCGTATCTTAACCATTTAGGAACATTAGGGTGGCACCGTTGGAATGAAAAAAAAAATAAGGTACTGATGTACCTACCGAAAATTAAACTTTTTTTCAGTCTAAAATACCGCATCTTAAAATGTCAAATTTGGGGACTGGGCCAAAGTCTCTTTTAAGGTTTTTCCAATTTTTTTATATTTTACGTAAAGGAATGATATGAAACATTGTCTTTTATATGGTCTTTAAAAGGTGCTATCATCAATTATTGTACTAGTTCAAAAATATTGAAAATTAAAAAAAATTCAAAGAAAATTCCAAATTTCAAAAATGTTATTTACGAAGAAATGTCTTCCGATTTTGAGGAAATTTGCACCAATACAAGGTTAGAACTATTGAATAGTAGGCCAGACAAAGCGCTATAGGTCAAGAACTGCCGTACTTAGAGGCTATTGCCGTTCAGATATCTATTTCTTCAATGTTTCCAAAAAAAAATTTAAATTTTTTAAAATTTAAAAAAATCTTTTTTTAATTTTTTTGTCAAAAAACCCCATTATTTTATTTTTTGCTCAAACGAAAGCTTAGACAATTAACTTTTAGGTCTTTATAGTTCCATAATGGGATGCGAGTGGGATATCTTTAAAAAACAATCTTTTTTAACTTAAAATAAGATTTTTTCGATATATCACATTTTTTTAAATGGACGTTTTTGTTGTTTTTTTTTCTTTTTTTTTTTTTTTTTGCTCAAATGAAAGCTTTGACCATTTCCTTTAAGAGCTTTGTGGATACTTAGCGGGATGCGAGTGGGATATCTATAAAGAAATATTTGAACTCAAGAAGCAATGTTATTGAGTTAAAATATTATTTTTTTACATAAGCCCCTTACATCCTACTTTGTAACTATAAAGCTCGTAAAGCAAATGGTGTAAGCTTTCTTTAGAGTAAAAAAATACGACAAAAACGTCCATTTTGAAAAAATAGAAGGAAATTAAGTGCCAAATATTTTAAAAAATCTTATTCTTAAGTTAAAAAATAATTTTTTTGATAGATATCCCACTCGCATCCCATTATAGGACTATAAAGCCCGTAAAAGAAATTGTCTAAGCTTCTTTTGAGCAAAAAAGGGAGTTTTTTGAAAAAAAAAATAAAAACTAATTTAAAAAAAAAATTGGAAACAATGAAGAAATAGCTATCTGAACTTCTTTGAACAATTTTTACTAGGCCTTCAAAAAGGATCTTTTAATCCCTTTAAGTACTTGTCTCATATGACATCATCGTGTTAAAATAATGAGTTAAAATGCAGGTGAACAAGTAGTTAAAAGAAGTTTTATTAGCTTTTGAAATCATTTCTTTTCAATGTAAGTTTTTCCTGTTTAATTACAGAAAAGTATATTGTTAGCTATAGAATTCTTTTTTAATTTAGACATAAATTAATTAATTTTTACCTGATTTTTTCAGAAAATTTAAAAAATATCAGTTATAACTTATTCACAACTCTGATATTTATTCTTTTCTGATAACCAAATAAAGAGAGTGCAAAGTTAACAGGTTCACAATAACAACACAACGGAAACTCATTGGCCATGCTTGGTTGAATGTTTCTTTCCAAAGATTATTAATTTTTTTTGGTAATTTGTAAATGTTTCGTGGTTTTATTTATCGTACAGAAATGTTTTTGAACTAAGTTCAAATCTAGACTTTCTTCCCCTGTTTGCAAGATATGTACATGTACATATGTATCTACATTAGGGCAGTTTAATAGTATGTATGTTCTTTAAAATCAAAAAAAATATATATATATATATATTATTTGAAAAAGTATTAAAGACTTTAACATTTTATTTGTTCTTCAAACATGTTTTTTGATTTGTATAGAAAAACTACTAACTAACTAGTAGTATTGGAAGAATTCTAATAAAATCTGAACTAGTCCTGTGAATTTTCATATAAATATATATTAGAGGCGCCCAAAAATATGAATTGTGCTTAGATGGGTCTCATTTTGCTAATTAGTATCTAAAAATGTTAGTATAAAATTTTAGCCCAATCGGATAACGGGAACCCGGGAATAGATTAAAGAGTGTAAACAATACGCCTTCTTTTGATTCCCTTAAAAATTGTGCCATTAAATTATAATATCATAACATTTCGGTCAAATCTATAACTTTATAATTTGTGATTCGATATTAATATTTTACACATTGTCTCTAGAGTCTAGAAAATAAGATTTGGTTGAAATGATGACTCAGAAAATATAATTTTAACGGCATAATTTTTGAAGAAATCAAAAAAGTTCTATTATGTACGTAATTTTGAACTTTTCAATTGATTTCAGACAGGGGTTCCATTTATCCGATTGGGTTTCCGATATATGACCAAAATCTCCATGTACATCTACAAAAAGGGCTCAAAATATTAAAAATCTTTTTTATTTTATTATATCATTTATAAAAATTTATAAAAATTAAAATTTTGTTAAATTATATAAATTTCCTACATTTTAGTAAAGATACATTGACATTTTTGCATATCTCGAAAACTGGTAGGAATCCCATTCTAAAATTTTAAGGATGGCTAGAAAACGAATGAGACCACATAATATAACAATTAAAAAAAATTAAGGATAGATTTTTTCTTTTATATGATTCTGAATTTTGTTTCCTATAGGAAACAAAATGTATAAAAAATAAAAATAAAATATTTATATCATTTCAAAGAATCATACATGGGAGTAGTTAATTATATCGATTAATTAATTGACGATTTCATTAGCATTAAATTGAAAAAAATTATAATTATTTTTTTTTTCCATTAGCATTATTTTGTCTAATGGTAATGGTTTTTAATGAAACGATTTCATTAGTAATTATTTAAAAATAAATTTTCATTACCATTATTCAATGGATTTTAAAAATGTTCGAACATTAGTTCGAATTTCGAATATCCGAACATTATAAAGTATTGTCATTAGGTGAAATCATGTATGGCAAATTTCAGCACATTCAGACTAGAAAAACTTATTTTAACAGCTTTAAACATTTTTCGTTCGAATTTTCGAAATTTTTTTTTAGGTTTTATGACCCAGAGATTAATTTAAAAACATAAAAACAATTTCGAAAATAACTTCGAATTTTCGAACTTAATTTCGAATATTCGAACATATTATTGTATTGTCATCAGATGTACTTATGACTGCAAAATTTCAGCCAATTTGGGCTACGGGAACTGGTTTTAAAAGCTTTCAAATCTCGAATCTTCGAAAAATTTTCCTTAATATATTTTTCGACAATTATAAATACTAATTAAATTCGTTTTTGAAAATTCATTATCAAATTCATTACCAATATCAAAAAAAGTTATAATGAAAAAAATATAATTTTCATTAAATGGTACTTACAATATTTTTCATTACAATTTTTTCTATAAATGGTAATGAAATTTTAATGCTTAATGAAAAATTCCCATGTAAGCAAAGAATATTGTTTTATAAAATTTTGTCCAATCAGTGACTATGGGAAACATCCTTTTAATTTAAAATAATCATAAAAATATCTTTTTATCTTTTAATTCAGCGAGTCAATTATACTTACGTATATCCATATTAAAAAAATATATATAAAAACTTAAAATTTTGATTTTTAAAGAAAATGGCACTTTTTGGAGTTTTTCAAAAAATGAGACATTAAGTATTAATTGTTGCACCTTTTATAGCAAAATCGTAGGTACGGGGGGTTATAAAGGTGAACATAATATTTTTTTTGTAAAATTAATAATTAATGCCTCATTTTTTTAGAAAACTCTAAAAAGTGATATATTCTCCAATAAAATCGCATTTACAAACTTTGGCGGCGATGCTCTTACTCAAAATAATTGAATAATGTTTTACAGTCTTCCTTTTAACATTAAACTACAACATAATTTCACTATTAGAAGTTGATCCGAAGGAAAAGCCACTTTTCGACTCACCCTAATGTACATATATATACATATACATTCATAAATGTATGTATGTATGAATGTACATTAAAATTTTTTAAATATTCTATTAGGTTACGCTTGGTAACATAATGCCATCATGATAAAATAATTTTTCTTAAATAACAGTGTAATATTATTAACAGACAAAAAACGCACGCGAACGCGTTAAATAGGAAAAACAAAATATGAATGAAGAAATTAATGGATGGATACATTTTACATTTATTTCGCTTTTTCTAAATAAATAAAGAAAACAAGGTATATCACCTTTTTATTTAATAATGGTTCAAAATATGAATTCTAAAAAAAAACTTAAAACTTTGCAGAATATTTATTTCAAGTTTAATATGTTTTTTGACTTATCACACTATTGAGGTAAATGTGCGAATGTAAATATTTTCGTAATTTCTTAATTTCGGTTCAAACTGAATAAATTTCTCTTTGTGTTTACTGATATTTCTCCGATCTAAAATGAATCATTATGATTAAATTTATTTTTTTCTTTATTGCATCATACATTTCTTTTATCAGCAGTTTAAAAATACAAGTAAAAACAATTGCTGAAGTAAGCATTCAGTTGCATTTTCATTCGAAATTCATTCGTTCAGTTCAGTACACGCAGTTAAGCTTTCATTATGCGATTATGTTTTACAATTTTATTTTTGTTATATTTTCGTTTGGAAATTGTTAAAAGTTCATTGGAAACAGATACACGATTTCTACTTAAACCAAATAGGTAAGTATGTAGGTTAAAGATTCTCCACACTAAAATTACTAATAATGACTACTTTTAAGCCTTCCCGATGACTTAAATTTTATGCCTTCTTTGTCAAATGGTCACTTGGGATTTACGATCTTTGGTGACGCTATATACATTAACGGTGTTTACAATGGCTACAAGGGTAATAGCCGACGTGCTCGATTACCAAACTGGCTAAATGTCACGGCCCATATTTTAAATACCCAAACTAACACATATATCCAACACAATAATATTGAATATACAATGAATTTGTATGAGGGCGTTTATGAATGGGTGGAAGATTACACAAGTTTGAACTTGGTCTTGAAGCAAAGGTTTTACGCGCATCGTTATTTTAACAGGGCCCTAGTATACGAGATGACTGTAATAAGAAAGACGGCGTCAGGTAGGTGTGATTTACTATTTAATTTATTTTTTAATTTAATGGGTATACATACATATATGTACATATTTTCAGAACCTATAACAATAGAACTACATCAAAATCCTGGTCGAAATACCCAAGCGTTTGATGTAATACTTGAAAACTCGCATTTAAGTAATATAACAATGGTGAAAGCTACGACTAAAGTAGTGGAAAATGAGTATTTCCAACCAAATCGTACTTGTCTTTATGTGGCCTTTAGTGATAACTTCCAAAACAATAAGAAAATTCTGAAACTAAATTTTGCTCAGAAGTATTTATATTATAGATTTGTATTAACGGCTGATTTGAAGAAATCAGTGGCTCTTACGGAAATTGAGAACGGTATACATACATATATACTAATACATGCGGGAACATATATTTTATACCCTTCACCTTCATGAGAAGGGTATATATAAATTGTCATTCTATTTGAAATTTCAACAAATAGTTTTGCTTAAAAAGTACTGATATATAGACAATTTTCCGAAACGGGTTCCCGTTATCCGATTGGACTAAAATTTAACACCAGACACTAATGAACAAAATAAGATCCATCCAAATAAAATCGGCATGTTTTGGGCATCTCCAATGTACATACATATATTAGGGTTATACTAATTTTTTACTTAACTTACTATATTAATACTAAAAATTGTGTTCGGGGGTCTGTTTATTAAATTTAGTTTTTGGAGCCCCCAGATATCTTTGGAATCCGAATCACGGCCAATTTTATTTGAAATGTTTTAAATCACTCACCAATAAAAACGCTCCTGAAAAAAAATCAAAAATGTAGAAAAAATTTCAACTCATTCGGTGCAACAGTAGAAGATTATAATCAAATCCCTTATAGGGGGTGGGAAATTTTATATTTACATATGAAATGTTCAACAATTAATACATACATACATACATATATATTATTTTTAAAAATATTTCAAAAAAGTCTTAAAAAATTTGCAAACAAATTTAAAAATACAATGGTGAAGGGTATACAAATAAGATTCGGCATGGCCGAATTTAATACTGTTACTTGTTACTAACATATTTAGTTTTAAAGTTCTTAGTTTACAGGCAAAAGATCTTCTCGAAAAACATACGTTTAGATGGCAGGAGTTTTGGAATGAATTTGAAATTAATGTAGAAGATAATATGGAATTGGTAAGTAAATTAAATATTTCATAAAATAATTTTTATTATTCGAACAAATACCGATTTATTTATTTTGATTAACCGAATAATCGAAATTTTCCTTTTTTTAAATTAAATATATATATATCACCGTCCTACAAAAAGAGAAAAATCGTTAGACTCGAACCGGGTGATATACATCTGAAACTATAAATTTAATGGAGAAAAATTGCGTTTTTTGTTTTTCATTTCGTACCCTGTGTTCTTTTTATAGGACTTTAAAGTTCTAAAGAAGTACATTTTTCAAAAAAATATTTTAAAATTCTTCTACTGATTAAACAATGCCAAATTTGATATAAAAAGAACAAGAAGAGTTGGAAAATATTTTTCATTATTTCCATTTTATACTATAAGGATAAAAATGTCAAAAATGTCTGTTACATTTTTTATTCTTTAATATGTATTTAGGTTTTCAATATTATTTTTATCAAAAAAAATTTAAGCATATTTTCTGATTCTGATAGAATAAATTTAAAATAACACAAAATATTTTACAAATTGGTCATTTGGCACCAAATTTGGCATAGTAGGATTAGCAAAAGTATTTATATCATTTTTTTATACCCTTCACCTTCGTGAGAAGGGTATATATAAGTTTGTCATTCCGTTTGTAATTTCCAAAATATAGTTTTCCGACCCCATAAAGTATATATATTCTGAATCCTTATAGATAGCGGAGTCGATTAAGCCATGTCCGTCTGTCTGTTGAAATCAGTTTTCTGAAGACCCCAGATATCTTCGGTATCTAAATCTTCAATAATTCTATCAGACATGCTTTCGAGAAGTTTCCTATTTAAAATCAGCAAAATCCGTTCATAAACAACGGAGAGATAAGCAAAAATCCGAGAAAACCTCTGAAAATTTCATAAAAAATAAACAACAACAACACTGCTTTTTTGTATTTTGCCTTTGTATTTTGTTTTTGTTTTTTGAGTATTTCGTTTCGTATGTTTGGATGGCTGTGTGTTTCTTTGCCTTGTGTATATTGTTTTTGTTTTGTTTTTCTTGGTACATTCAATTTCGTATGTTTGGATGTCTGTTGGTTTTACTGCCTTGTGTATTTTTTTGTGTGTTTATTTCGTTTAGCGTTGTTGTTGTTCATTATGTTTCGCTATTGCTATAATAATGATATAGTCGGGAAAATTAATTTTTAAATACACTTTGGTGAAGGGTATATAAGATTCGGCACAGCCGAATATAGCACTCTTACTTGCTTTTAACTGCGCTCATTTGAAATTTTAAAGTCCCTTTTAGAAGGAAACTGTATCACGAAATCACGTGTGAACGCAGTTTTTCTTCATTTAATCTCTAGTTTTAGACTTACATATGTCTAAAACTGTCATGTCACCTGTCATGTCAAAGCAAATATAGAATTAAAAGAACTGTAATAAATAAAAGGAAACTAAAATAATTAAGTTTGACAAATTAACAGATTTTTCGAATATTACTTCGAATTTTCGAACTTTATTTCGAATATTCGAAGATAATAAGCGTCATCAACTGTACTTAACATTGCCAAATTTCAGCCAATTTGGTCCAGGGAAACTGGTTTTATCTGCTTTAAATTTTTTTCGAACATGAGTTCGAATTATCGATTTTTTTTTTATTTTTTTGGACTCAAAGAATAATTTTAACGCATACAAAATTTTTCGGACATAACTTCGAATTTTCGAACTTAATTTCGAATATTCGAACATAATATTATGTTGTCATCAATTGTACTCAAGACTACCAAATTTCATCGGTTTAGAGTAAAACGTCTTTAAAAGTTTTACATCAACAAAATTTACAAAGATTTATGCACGACGAATTTTTTGTGTTACTCAACAAAAATGTATCAAATTATTTAGTCTCAAATCATCAATGCCGGCATATTTTACATGGCCAACTCTTTGCCCTCTTTGGACACTAATCAGAAAAATAACCCCTACTTTGGCTTAAGCCCCACTGGTTTAGGACGTGGTCAACTGGATGCTGACTATGAAGGCCATAATTTTTGGGATACTGAAATATGGATGCTGCCAGCTGTAACACAACTTCAACCCCTTTGGTCACAAGAACTTTTCAAGTATCGCCTGGAGCACTTACAAGGAGCTCTATATAATGCAAACAAAACGGGATACACCGGTGCAAGGTCACTAAAATCCAACTGATCTCAGTAAAAAAATTAACAATTACATGTTTCATAGATTTCCTTGGGAAAGTGCATATACTGGTACAGAAGCCACCAATCCATGTTGCCCTGAAGTGGCCACGCAGGAAATACACATTTCAGCTGATATAGCTGTTGCTTTGCAACAATTCTACGCAACCACCTACAAACGTGATTGGCTTTGTAATACAGCGTGGCCACTGGTTCGTGAGATAGCAAAATTTCTGCAAAGTCGTGTCACATGGCAGAAAAAAACAAAACAATTTCACATTCAAAGTAGATAAATAATAATTTATAGGCTATTTGCTATTTAAGTTTAATAAATGTAATTTTTAAAAATTATTTAAAGATGTCATGGGTCCTGATGAAGATCATGAAAACGTTGATGACAATGTTTACACAAATGTGGTGTTTAAACAAGCATTTGAATTTGCCAGGTAAATAAATATGTATGTATGTACATTTGAGGTGTCAAAAAATATCAATTTTGCTCAGATGGGTCTTTTTTTTGTTCAATAATGTCTAAAACTAACTGGTGTAAAATGTTAGCCAAATCGGACAACGGGAACCCGTGCCAGAAATCGATTGAAAAATATAAAATTGGTAAATAATAGGACTAATTTTAAGTTTTTCAAAAATTGTGCCATTAAAATTATAGTTTCTTAAAATTTTAACGAAATCTTATCTTCTAAAGAAAATTATATTTCCAACAAGGTATAAAATACTAATATTGAGCTACAAATAATAAAGTTATAGTTATTTTCTTTTCACAAATATGTTGCAAAAACAAGTAAAATAAAAATTATTTATATTTTACTCGTTTTTTGTGTAAATATTTTTGTTTACATCACTTCTGCATGCTAAACGACGACAAAACAATGCAAAAATGGATGATTTTTTAATAAATGGATTGGGAAATTGTCAATAACTTTATTGTTTGTCCTTTGATATAAATGTTTTGTACCTTGTTGGATAGATAAATTTCTCTAGATGATAAGATTTGGACGAAATGTCAAGAAAAGTTAATTATAATTAAGTATTAGATACTAATGAACAAAATAAGGCCCATCTGAGAAAAATCGATATTTTTGGACCCCTCTAAAGTACATAAATATATTGAAAGTAATTAAAAACTATTTTTAAAGGAACTTTACGTTATGTGATTTTGTATTAATACAAAGTGTTATTATACCCTACACCACTTAAGTGGGGAGGGTATATTGGATTTGTGCTGATGTTTGTAACGCACAATAATATCGGTCCTATACCCACCTTAAAGTATACCAATCGGCTTAGAATCATTTTCTGAGTCGATTTAGCTATGTCCGTCCGTCTGTCCGTCCATGTAAACCTTGTAATCAAACTACAGGTCGCAATTTTGAAGATAATTCAATGAAATTTGGCACATGATCTATTGTCCCAGGAACGAAGCCTATTGAAAATGGTTAATATCGGTCCATTATTTCACCTAGCCCCCATACAACTGAACCCCCGAATAGGGCTTGTAAACCTTGTAATCAAACTACAGGTCGCAATTTTGAAGATAATTCAATGAAATTTGGCACATGATCTTCCATTGTCCCAGGGACGAAGCCTATTGAAAATGGTTAACATCGGTCCATTATTTCACCTAGCCCCCATACAACTGAACCCCCGAATAGGGCTTTTAAACCTTTTAATCAAACTACAGGTCGCAATTTTGAAGATAATTCAATGAAATTTGGCAGATGATCTTCTATGGTACCGGAGACGAAGCCTATTGAAAATGGTTAACATCGGTCCATTATTTCACTTAGCTCCCATACAACTGAACCCGACGAATAGGGATTTTAAGTTTATAATTATGTTTAATATACTCGTATCTCGACAAAAAGCTGCAAAACCAAGTTCTATACTAGCCATGATGACTCTCATGAATTTTATAATTATAGGGTCTCATTTGACCATAGCCCCTATACAAATCCCCCTTCAAAATTTGACTTAAAGGTCCATAATTTTATTCAGCAATAAATGGCTTAAGTATAATTCAAGGCAAGGAGAAATTCAACTTAAAAGCTTTATTATGAAAACTAAATCACATTTTATTTTTGTAACAGGTGTAGGGTATTATATGGTCGGCCTCGCCCGACTATAATTTCTTACTTGTTTGAAAATGTATTGTAATCTGAAAATCTAAAACATTTTGTAGTTAGAAATGTATTGAGTCTTTTAAACTTTTTCAAAATCAGTTTTTTCACAAAATGCACTATTTATTTATAATTTCCTTTTGGATTTTAATTTTAATTTTCTTTTATTTTTCACCATAATTTTCTTTGTAAGCCACTTGAAATTGAAAATAAACCAAAAAAATACTTTTCATAATACATGAATGAAAATTGTTCAATACATTTTGACAACAAATTTGATTTTATGTTAAAGACAATGAAACTCTGATAAGTATTAATTCAAAGTATTGTACTGTAAATCCTCCTTAGTAAATAAAGTGAATAAGATTCCTGTCAGCGGTTGAATATGAAAATATCGGCACCTACAATTTACTTAAAAATAATTTGCAAAGTTAAATCCTCATATTCATGAATGCTTAATAAAGACCAAAATTACTGGGAGACAAATCTCAAATTTCTATGTACATTTCTATATATTTTGAAAATAATTGAAATTTTTACAATTCGCACATACGGTTAAGAGGTGTTCCTCAAAATTGAGTCATTTGACACACATATTTTGATATAAAATATCTCTTTAAAAGATTTTTGTATGAGTAATGTAATTATACATAATTATAATTATTTTGTTTAATTCCATTTTAATATCTTTCCTCTAATTATAACCTGCACCTTTTTTCCACAATATAATTTTCCGACTCTATAAAGTATATACGTTAGGTAGCGTAAGTAGGCTTCGATAAATTCAAATTTTGGCAAATGGAAAAACCGTTTCAGCAAATTTTATTGATGATTATTATGTATTAATTTCAACGAATTAAATTCATCTGTGTTAAAATATAAAAAAACTGAAAATTTTCCTAAAAATTTGAAAATTTTGACTTCTCTTAAGGACCTTTCTTATGATACCAAAATTTCTTCCTTTGGAAGAAATATGAAAAAAATAATAAAAACCTCAAAAAAGGATCCTTTTATCCTTTGATTCAGCTCACCAAACATTGACGCCAGGACAACAACTTTGAGAAATGGAATCTTAATATCAATTAAACTTTGATTTTAGTTGGGAACATTGACACCTTATTTTCCTCCATACAAACATATATATTCTGGATCTTAGAGATAGCGAAGTCGATTAATCCATGTCTGTCCGATTAATCCATGTATCTGTTACGGGAGCAAAATCTTTAATAATTCTATCATACATACTTTCGAGAAGTTCCCTATTTAAAATCAGCAAATTCTGTCCATCGGAGATATAAGCAGTGGAGTTATAATTATAAGAAAAAACTATATTAAAAAATAAAATAATTTAAAAAGAATATAATAAATTGTAATAAAATATGTATTAACTGTTTTTTAAGGCACACTATGGTGAAAGGTATATTAGACTCGGTCCCTTACTTGTTTTTTATTATATCATTTGATTAAATAAGTTTTAAAATAAATTGGGTGATTTTATATTGTAGAAAATATCGCCAAACTTGGTGTGTTCAGATACAGATAAATTAAATGTATTTAGATGAAGAAGTGGACATTTTGACAAAAGAATTGCATCATTATTGTTATCACCTAAAAACTAAATACATATCTATTTATGTAGATTTACACACTTAACATGTGACCCTTATGCAAACGTGTCGTCTCTGGATTGGTTAAATATTGCCAACAACATATTCATTTTGTATGATAACGTTCTCGATTATCATCCTCAATATATAGGTTATAAGCCTGGTGATCAAGTTAAACAAGCAGATACCATATTATTGGGTTATCCATTACAATATCCCATGCAAAAGTTTGTATAGAAATTATATGCATACATACATACATACATACATACATACATACATACATACATACATACATACATACATACATACATACATACATACATACATACATACATACATACATACATACATACATACATACATACATACATACATACATACATACATGCATACATACATACACACATACATACATACACACATACATACATACATACATACATACATACATACATACAATACATACATACATACATACATACATACATACATACATACATACCATACATACATACATACATACATACATACATACATACATACATACATACATACATACATACATACATACATACATACATACATACATACATACATACATACATACATACATACATACATACATACATACATACATACATACATACATACATACATACATGTGTATGTATGTATGCCATTAGAGGTGCACAAAAAATATGAATTTTGCATGGATGGGTCTCATTTTGCTCATTACTGTCTAAAATTGACTGATGAAAAGTTTTATACAATCGGATAGCAGGAACACGTGCCGGACTTTTTTTTAATCTCTTCAAAAATTGTGCCCTTTAAATTATCTTTTATAACCATTTCGTCAAATAAAATTATTGACAATTTTTTTTAAATATCATGAATTGTTTGCATTATTTAATCATATTTTGCATGTAATTAGTAATTTTTGCTACATATTTGTGGAATGAAAATGCCTATAACTTTCGTTATTTGTCACTATTAATTAATATTTTAATAGGTCGAAAAATGATAATATAACTTTAATGGCACAATTTTTGATGAAATCCAAAAAAGTCATATTGTTTACTTTTCAATCGATTTCCTTCGCGGGTTCCCATTTTCCGATAGGGCTAACATTTTGCACAAGTAAGTTTTAGATATTAATAAGTAAGACCCATCCAAACAAAATCGAAATTTTTGGGCCCCTGTAATGTACCTACATATTTACATATTTAGAAAATAACTTTTTATTGTGCACTTTTTTTAGATTAACGCGTTTAAATGATTTGCGAATGTACGAAAATGTGACTCGCCGCTCAGGTCCAGCTATGACATGGTCAATGTTTTCTATTAATTATTTAGATGTTGATTTACCGTCGAAAGCTGGAGAATACTTTGAAAAGGCTTACAGAGATTATGTACGGCCACAATTTAAGGTAAATTTTTAAAATTGAGAAATAACTTGTAAGTAAAATAGTAATTAACATATTGACGTTCATCATTTTATGTTTTTAATTTAAAAATGTTTTCTTTTCTAATATATAAATAAAAACCAATTGTAGGTTTGGAGTGAAACAAAACTTGGTTTTGAAGGCTCCGCTAATTTTCTAACTGGTATTGGTGGATTTATTCAAGCAATCATACATGGTTATGGTGGTATAAGATTTCAATTGGAAAATAATTCATCAAAAATGATTATCAAACAAACTTATCTTATGAATAACACGAAGCAATTAACTATAAAAGGTACGCATAAAAATAAATTTCTGAAATTGGCGTATAATTTTAAAATATACTTATTAAAAGGTATTAAATTTGCTAACTCTTCCTTTGAATTGATTGTTAAAAATGGAGGGAGCATTCTAAAGTTATTGAAATTGGGTAAACATCCTTTAGAGATTATAGTTGGATCTGATAAGTCCTCAAGTTTATATGAAGGATTTTCAAGTGAGTTACGAATTTTTATTGGATTTAAAAGACTTTTAATAATATTCTTTATTTTGGTTCTTTTCATTTATTTTTGTTTAACTTATAGTTCAATTCCAAACTGAATTCATAACAATACAAACTATAACAAAAGTAGCCAAAAGAATAAATCATCTTACATATTAGATGTTAAAAATTATAATAATTTTACTTAAATATTACAATTATAATTTTTTTAATTGCAAGTGACACATATAATATTGAACGGATATAGTATAGAAGTGTAAAGTATAGGTTAAATTACTAAAAGTGGCTGTATCTTTATTATAGAAGAGCAAAGTTTAAAAAATATTATTGCAATTAAACTGTATATTTATTGGGGTTTTCTTTTTGGTTAAATTCCAGCGGATCAATATCAAGATATTTTAATCAAGCATCGCTTTGTGACTTCCCGTTTTGCAAATTGTCCTAAAATTTCAATTTCGATTACAATTTCAGAATTTACATCAATTTGTTATTTTGGTTTATCTTATGAAAGAATCAAATTTTTGATATAGAATTTATTTTTAGCAATTTTTAAAACATTTATAACGTAGTATGGACAAATGTTGATTCATTCTTTATAATGATCCACTGAATTGTTTTGCTTGTAAATGAATATGCGAAATGCTAAATCTATATATGTATGCTTTATAACTATTGTAATGTGGGGATTTGGTAGATTATAGTGCCCAAGCAGAGTATTTATTGTTTACATTTACTTAAACTTCGATATAGTTGAACCAGCTACATTATTCGACGTTTGTTTGCCACCACTTAAAACGACATACGGCGTTTTGGTTTCCTTTTGTTTCTGTTGCAACATGGTCAGTGTACCCAGTGGCGTGTCAGTTGAACTCATCGTTTTCATTAGACCATCTTGTTCCATTTTTTTGAGGCGTTTTTCAATTTTATTTTTACCTGGCCCCTTGCCGTGGAATTTATGTGATAAATACCGGAAAGCCTCCTTCAAATTTAAGATCCGACCATTGTCATCGATATATTCCAATTTTACGTTTGGGTTGAAATTGCTCTTGTCTTTAAAGTCCATAATGGGACCAGCATGAAAACGATCTCGTCGACCAAATTTATCGTCTTCACTAAAAATAGAAATACTTTAGATAAAACTATTGGCAAATCGAGTAAAAGTAATTTAATTATAATTATATTTGTGTCTGAATAAAATACGAATATTTGATTTTATCATTTTGTTGTTAAAAATATACTTACGCTGTGTTCTTATCCTCAATCGAATAGTTTTTAGCCTGTAAGTGTGCCATTTTAGAGTTACTTGGTCGATTGAGATCCTCTTTTTCTAAATAACCCTTAGATAAAGCTAAACGCAATGCATTTGCCACTCCTGCACCCACGTCTGGCTCTTCATCCAATATAGCTACCTCCTCTACTTCATCAACAATATTATCCAAATCGGCAGGCTGATTCACTTCATCGGGATTTACTGAATTCCAAGTACCATGACTGGCTTCTATCATATCATCGGTGTTATCTCCTAATCTCTCTTCGGCATTTTCGATTGTCTCAAAGTCCATCATATCATTAGAATCTTCGTCACGATTGCCGGCCATACCATACGTAGGAATATCACCCAATGTTCGGCAAAATTCAGCTGTGGCATTAAGAATGATGTGAGCATCACGATTAACTTCCGAATCCATAGCGTTGTCATCTTCGATTTCAGATTTTATTTCTGGTTTAATAGTTTCGATGTTGGGCAATGATTTTTTAATGATATTTTCCTTTTGTTTAAGTTTGCGTGCTTTGGAGAGCATACGTTCGAGATCTTCATCTTGTTCTTCAATCTTTATATCTGAATCCATGGGTTCGTCTTGATCTCGATGCCGCCCTCCCCGACTACCAAAATGGGAAGTGTCTTCCGATAAGGGGAGTAAGTCATCAGCTTTAAGTTTTTGTCTCAATTTCTTCACTTTCTTTTTAGGTTTTTTAAATCTGAAAAAAAAAACATGATAATGTTTTATTTAATTTATAATATATCTGTTTTTCACACTTACTTAGCCATTTCCGTTTCCGACAATGTGTCGGATGCCAAAGTGATTTGTGTATCGGCTAATGTTTCCAAACGTTTGCCCGCTAATTTTGTTTTAATTTCCAATAACTTACGCCGATGTTCGCGTTCTTCATCTAAATTTTCGCCAATTACGAAATTTTTCGTTTTCAATTTATTTCCATCCAAATCCTCATCGTACTTTTCCAATATATTTCTTTCGATGGAGTTTCCAAGTTCATCATATTGTTCCTCGTATACATTGTAACCGTAAGACAAAGGATTTTTCTTTTTGTTTTCAACATTTTTGCGGTAACGGGCATCATCTAACATGTTGACATTGACCAAAGTGTCGCCTTCTTTCTCGTCCAAAACATCGGCATCTTTAAGCGTTAAAATTATAGTTTTTCCCTCAGAAAATTCATCCATATCATGATCAACTTTAAGACCCTTTAGATGTTTTTCTGTGTAAGCTTTGTGGCGCGCTTCAGCCTTTTCCTTTTCTACTAAATCGTCTACGCCGAATTCTTGATCCATTTCCTCCAAAGCTTTAGCCTAATAATATATGATAATGTTAGTTGTGCAACTTTTGGTAAATATGAAAGTTTTACTTTACCCTTTCTTCAGCTGCTTTTTTTTCATCCACTACCTTTTTGTTACGCTGCACCCACTTACTGATATCATCCACTTCGTCGTCCGACTCACCCAGAGTCTTGATGTGAGCCAGTCTTTCTTCCAAAAAACGTTTTTCTTTCCTCTGTTTCAGCTTTTCTCTCATTTTTTCTGCCTTAGCTTTCTCTTTAAGGTCTTCCGCGGGTTTGTGTAAAAATTCTCCCCATTCATCTTTATAGGACGAAAGGTCTTTTTCACCTGGTTTTTTTGCTTCAGCGGCCGCCGCAGAAGTTGAGGGTTTAGACGGCCCAGAATCTACCTCTAATGGCTTCAAACCCAATTTAGCTCTTAATTTATTAGTTTCCTCTATGGAAAGACAATCGCCCGCACCATTTTCTGGTATCGGTGAAAAATCCCTTTCTGTATGTCTATCTTTTTCGGATGAACGGTCCCTATTGTATCTGTCGGCATCCCTTGGAGAATCAAGATCTCTTTCTCCTCTCTCAGAACGATGTCTAGAATGATATTCTCTCTCATATTCACGTTCCCTATCCCGTTTTCTATCACGTTCCTTTCGCATTTCGCGTTCCATTTCTTCATCACGACTCTCCCTTTCACGTCTTCTTTCGATTTCTCGTACTTTCTCATAACGCTCACGTTCTCTTTCCTTTTCCCGCGGCCTTTCGTAAGCTCGATCACGTTCCTTGTAACGTTCACGTTCTCTTTCCTTTTCATACTCACGTTCCCTTTCTTTCTCTTTCTCATAAGCTCGTCGACGACGTTCTTCCTCGTAATCGACATGTTTCGATAGCAAAGGAGGTGGAGGTGCACTACGTTCCCCTTCGCTATTACTGTTGGATTTGGAATCTACGGGAACTTCTATGCAGTCGGAACCTGAAATTTAAATGTATCATCAATATTTTATCGCTTTATCGATATATTTATCGATATATCTATAGAATCGCTTTATCGATATATCTTATTAAGTCAAAACCATTATAGTTTCCATTCAAGTATGGAAATATATACATAGCAACTTTCCAAACCTTTTGAAAATGCCTGTAAAAGAATAAAAGGAAATGCGATGATTTATCTTTGTCCAAGTAAAAAGTGTGCAGACGAGAAGAGATGAGTGTCTTGCAATAAATTTTTAATATATAAACAAAATTTAATATAAAAACAATATTGGAAAAATAATCGCTTTAGTTTTAGACATCTTATCAAATCTCTTGGAAACTACTGCACACCTTTCCCTTTTTGGGGAAATTCCTGTCATCCCACCAACAGTTAACTTATAATTATACTGTAAGTATAAATGTTGCACTTTTTCACTTACTGTCTGAATCAGACTCGGCCAAAGCAATCACTTCATCACTGCGATTTTCACGATCTCGTTCACGTCGCTTATGTTGTCTTTCACGATGGTGCTCCTTGTGTTTCTTATGTTTGTGGTGACGATGGCGACTGCTGGATTTTTCGCTTGTCAAATCGATTTGTTCTTCATCACCACTATGAAGCTCTCTGGGAGATCTTGAGCGGTGACGCTTATGTTTCTTTTCTTTTTTATGTTTATGTTTGCCGGTTGTAGATGAACCCATAATTTAATTAATTTAATATACGTATATTTTTTACTTTTCACAAAAATATAAATTATTTTTCTTTTCACAAAACGTTTAGTTTGATAATAGTATAACAGGGTTGTCAAACCTATGTATGTATGTACCATTAGTCTGACAGCTGTACTAAAATTTCAATGTTGTCAAAACATAAATAAAAAACAAGTAAGAATGTATAGTCAGACATGGCCGCCATATGAAACCCTACGCCGGGGAGTATTTTACCATTTACCTTAATTGCGAAATATTTTAACATTTTGTCCCCAAAAAAGTGATTTTCTAAAAGAGACGTTAAAGTTATTTATGCATAATTTCATCGCGGTACTAGTGTTTAAAAGTGAATTTTTACCTTCAAGTAATTTTCTGAAGGGGACTTTGTATGAGGGCTAGGGTCAAATGTGGCTCGATCATTATGCAAATCGGCTGTATCATTTAAATTTATATAAAACCAAGATTTGCCGATTTTTGTATAGATTCTACAACATTTAACATGGTTATAAACTCAAAAGCCCTATTTAGGGTTACGGTTGTATGCGGGCTAGGCGGAATATTGGACCGATTTCAAACAAATATTTGAACGATTTCAAACATAGCGTTCGTCCTTGGGTCAAAAGAAGTGTATGTGCCGAATTTCATCAAATTATCTTGAGAATTGCGACCTGCAGCGTGCGCACAAATTAATCTCTTTCCTTAAAGTCCCACAAATATGAAACTGCAGAAAAAATTTTATGCTCCTTTATTAGAGCGATCAACCCTAAACAAATTAAAATAAAAGTTGGTTCGAAAGATCTGGGTTTATATCAATTTTATTCCTCTATGATAGGTACAAAGTTATTTACTTTTTTGTAATGTAATAAGTTGAATTTTAAATCCCGAATAGCAGCATTTGATTAGTTTGAGGTGTTTGGCATCCCTAGATCTAAATAATGTACTAAAATGTCGTTTTTTAAGAAAAAATGTGTTAAAAATATGTTATGTATATTAAGTAATAAATAAAGATACAATTATTATTCCGCTGAACCTGACATTGTATTAAATACATCCTTTAACGCATTTAAACGCAAAAGTTCTTCTTTTAATTCCACATAATCTAAGTAGGAAAGATTTCCATTTTGTAGTTGAAAATTTTTTACGTGTAGCACCCTCATAAGCTCTTGCTGTTTACGCACGATGCCTTTGGTGTCTTCTTTTTTAGTAACTTCGGCTAAATTCTTTAACTTTTTATTTATTTTAGACTTTTTTGATTTTTTGCCAGAAACCTGTAAAAAAGAAAATATTCAATGATAAAAATAGTTTTTTAATAGAATAATATGCTTAAGTACCTCAGAATCCATGTTGAGTTTTTGTAAACAAAAAATGTAAATAAAAACATGCGCTGCCTAAAAATAGTGTTGCCGCTCTTTGTTTTTCCTTTTTAGCTAAGATTAGCGGTATGACAATCTTATTTATACAATCTGGCAATACCGAGTTATTTTTGTTGGTTTGAAATAGAGCTTTCGATTTTTTCCGAAAGGAAATATATCGTATCTCATATATCGGAGGTATATCGTAACATAGAAAGTCGTAAAACGAAATATAAAAATTGTTATGTAGAAAATTTCAATTCGAATGAAAATAAGTTAGTATTATATTAAAAAACACAAAAAATATTTTTCTTCATAATTGAAGCAAAAATATGAAGAATTTTGGAATGTTTTTAAATATTTTTTAATTAAATAAAAATTATATAACTTAACTTAATTGAAATTGTTGGAAAAAACTTAAAATGTCGATTTTTCGACCTTACGATTTTTTACGACTTTTTGACTTTTTTCTTACAAGATATCTCATCGACTCGACTTTATCCGATAAAGTCGGTTCTTCGATTATTTTAAAGTCGATTTATAGCCGTCACTGAAATTTTCAGTGTCAGACGTCCCGTCTTTAATTTTTGTTGGCACAGGGCTTTGTTTGAAAGTGGCGGATTCGGCTTAGCCGTCGAACAAAATGTCAAAGCCGCCGCAGTCGAAAATTTTCTCCATAATTTGTGTAATTTACAGAACACTTTCGCTAAATTTATGGAATTTTCACGTAGAACTTTAATATTCATCTAAACATATTGGGGAAAATGGGCGGACTTTCATCAAGGGGGCTTGGCACCCCCATAGGAATAAAATAGAAAAATTTGAATATCTGAGAAACTATTAGAGCTAGAATCTTAAAATTTTACATGAAGAACTTTGACATTCATGTGAACATGTAGAGAAAAATGGGCGGACTTTCAATGGGGAAATTGCACTTCCTGAAACTACCTGAACCTGAATTAAATACGGAATTTCGTATATCTGGGAAACTATTAGATTATTCACATTTTTCATAGGTTACATGTATTATAGTTAGAATCTTCAAAATCGTTAAGTGGGTTTTTTATTTATATTGCTTTTAGGGTAGCACTGAGTATATATATAAAACAGACTGTTTGTTTGTGTGTTTGTTTGTAACGCTTTCACGGCATAACTACTCAACCGATTTACAAAGGGTCGGATGCCACGCCCTTTTTACGCCCAATTTTTGTAAAACTATTATTACACCAATTTTGCAATCACAATATACAAAAACTAATAAACCGTTTACCTGAAATTTTGCATACCGATAGGTATAAGCTCGGAAAGAACTATAGGTTATATATGAGATCTTGATCCGATGCCACGCCCCCTTCTACGCCCAATTTTACCTATATCCTATCCTATAATTATATGAAAAAGACTGTTACGCTTTCACGGCCAAACTACTCAACCGAAATTTAGAACACTAATACTTCTATTCTAAAGTGGAATAATAGGCTATATGATTGGGCGTCACGATTCTTCTTATGCTCACTTTTTTCTATATAAGTAATTGTTATACAAAATTTTCATTCGAGACTTAGAGAAAACTACTGAACCGACTTACATGAAATTTGGTATACCGATAGGTCTGACCTCAGGAGGAACTATAAACTATATAAGAAGTAAGTAAATATATATGAGACTCTTTTTTTTATTCTTTCTCTACATAATTACTAAACCGATTTACATAAAATTCGCCATATTAATATGACTATATATGATATTAATTGGATGCTACGCACATTTTTATGTTCACTTTTAGAATAACAGCTATAACACCAAATTTCTAGTCTAAATATAAAATAAGAACGAATTTTCAAGAAATTTGGCAACAGACAGTGTATTTTTGGAATCAACTTTTTGATCTGGATTTCATGCTTCATGAAATTTTGCTTGACAATAGTTCTATCGTGGAAGGTTAGGTTAGCTAGTTAGGTTAATTTGAAGAAGAGAATGTTTAATACATCAAATCCGAATAAATACACCTATACCACTAATTTTGGTCCTGTTGTGATCTTAATCAAATGCAATGACCTTTTTCCGCCCAGTTTTTGTTACATTTAAAAATCTCACGATATATACTTCTTATAGTATATGAGAATTATTATTTAGGTAGTTAAAATTTTAATCAAAAATTTATTTTTATTTGAAAACTCTAAATGTTTGTAGGTCCTTAACTTACTTTACGATTAGGTAAAATAAAATTTTGTAATCAATTTAATTTATTATCAAAAAACGATTTTTATCTAAAGCGTAAAATCGGTTGTAGATTCGTATATCCCATCACTTATATTTTCCACCGGAAAACTATTCTTATTTCAAAACCTGTAATCCGCTGCATATCCTCAAAAAAATAACTATTTTAAAACAGAATCGGATGTAGTTTACTACGATCGAGAAAATAGCATATGGAAATTTTTATAAAAAATATATTGTTGTAGATCCGCATATCTTACTCCCATCACTTATATTTTCCACCGGAAAACTATTTTTATTTCAAAACCTGTAATCTGCTGTATATACTCAGAAAATAACAATTGGCAATTTAATTTTTCTTATCAAATTCACAAACCAACACAGGCTGTATATATTTTGAAAACTTGGGAGCATTGTTATCCATATTTAATTTTTAAGTAGCTATATCTAGGGTTCTATAGTTGAAACGAAAAGTCGACTTTTCGACTTTTTGCATTTAGTTAAAAGTCGACTTTTCGACCTTTCGACTTTTTCCATTTTATGAAAAGTCGATTTTTCGACTTTTCGACCTTTTTCATTTATTTAAAAGTCGACTTTTAGACTTTTCGACTTTTAGTATTTTATAAATGGTCGACTTTTCGACTTTTTCCGACTTTTCGACTTTTTCCGACTTTTCGATTTTTTACGACTTTTTGACTATTTTCGACTTATTTCGACTTTTTTTCGACTATTTTTTACTTATTTTGAGTTTTTCCGACTATTTTAGAGTTTTTGACCTCTTTTCCACTTTTTTAAAATATTCGACTATTTTCGACGTTTTCCGACTTTTCGACTTTTTCCGACTTTTCGACTTTTTTCGACTTTTTTCGACTTTCTTCGACTTTTTTCGACTTATCGACTTTTTTCGACTTTTCGACTTTTTTCGACTTTTCGACTTTTTTCGACTTTCCGACTTTTCGACTTTTTTCAACTTTTATTTACAAAGTCGACTTTTCGACTTTTTTCATAGACGATAGTCGAGTTATCGACTTTTTTGGAACAAAATAGTCGACTTCGACTTTTTTCGACAAAAAGTCGATTGTTCGATTATTCGAAAGTCGATTTATAGAACCCTAGCTATATCTATCGCTACTAATAAAATTTATACCTACTTAAATATGTACTGAAAATTTATATAAACTTCGAAAAAAATACAACTAATATATTCATATTACATTTTTCATAAAAATTCGAATTTTAAACTTAAATCTACAAAAAAATCTAGAAAATCATTCATATCTCCCCTTAAAATTTCTATGTATATAACTCTTTTAAAAAAATAACTCTAAAAAAAATTACTTTAAATATAAGTAAAATTATTTAGGTAACTTTTTTGTATATCTAACGATATTTGACCTTTAAACCTTTATTTCTTCGGATGTAATAGGTGATGTCTAAATCCATCCAAAACTTTAGTGTGGATGCATAAAAGCTAATGAAAAAAAATAATATTTTTAAACAAACTTTTATATAAACGGATGTATTTTTGAGAAACAATGACGAAAAAACGATGATTTTACTCTTTAATGAACAACTCAAAATTGTTTGTCTAATTAAAAGTAGTTTTGTTTTCTCTGTCAAGATTCAAGGATTCTTCATGTTTTCCTAGGACAGAAAAAAGGTAATTTTGTACTTTTTAAAGGAATTTGAAATCAATGAGCCCAAATTTTTCATGATTTTGTGCAGAATTTCTCATAATCGTTTCAGAGTTTTTTCAATTGCATGTACTTTTTCAAACAGCAAAAAAAAATTGCTTGAAATTTTGTACGGGGTTAATGGTACGTATTTTTGAAATTAATAAAATGCGCCCAAAGACTTTTGCCTCTTTACACCAGGGACACTACAATTCAAAGTACGGTGTGACATAATTTAAACTAAACAGTTCTTTAAATCTACTGCACACGTGATTGAAAATGCTGATTTCAGTAGAATTTCTCAAAAAAAGTTTCTTAAATTTGTTTACAAATTACTTAAAATTTCTTAATTGAAGCACATTTTCAATTTCTAAATTGAAACGGACATTAAGGATTAAAAAGGCAGAAAAATATATTAACTATTTTTTTTGATATCTACATATTTAAAAAAAGTCATTACAGATAGAAAAATATTTTCTTTACTTTTCGAAGAAACCCGGGCAACGCAGGGTACACGCAGCTAGTCTAATAATAAGCCGCTCACTGAAATTTGGCCGGTGGTAAATCTTTGCTCAACGTTCGCCTCAGATATTTTCGTATTTTACGCGTCTTCTACCACAAAGTATACAGAGGTGTCACTTTTGACATTTAAAAAAGTCTAAAATCAGCTTTTGTTTGATTTTGAAATTGTTTGGTGAGAAGAGGTATATAAAATACAGCTAAAAAAAATTATTGAATTCGTTTTGTGCGAAAGAGAGGGAAATAGTTTTTTGCTCGTGACGCCTCTGTATACCCTGTGCCAGCGGGTCGCTGCTTCTACTTCAAACCAAGATATATTAATTATAATTAATATACCATGCTTCAAACACTATTTATTTGTAGCAAACACGAGATACGAAAAATACATTGCTGTTTGACAAACCAGAGTTACCTAGGTCGTCAAACAAATGTATTTTAAATGGGACATCAAACAAAATCAGTTTGAAGGAAAAATTCTGCGCGCAGTTGCATGTTTTCGCGGCAACTTTTGCAAATTCTTTATTTGATCTTCTGTTGTGGTGTGTGTGAAAATCGAAAAAGTTAAAAATAATATTCTTTAAATAAAAAATAATTTTTTTAATAACAATTGAACTTAGAAATTAATAAAATTGAATGCCGAGGGTCATTAGTCTGCATTTTGTGTAATTAAAATTAGAATTTTCAATGGATTGTAATGAAACTACGCGTATTTTAAATTCGGAGACGAATGAACAATTATTAAAAACACATGCTGAAGAATTAGCCAATGTGCGTAAATTACGCTTAGTTGTCAAGGAACTTAAACAGATAGATTGCACCAAGCTACAACTTCCTGACATTGAACAAATAAAAAAGGCCATTGTATTGATAAAAATTGGCGAATATCTTTATTTAAACGAGAAAAAGGATCAAGTATTAAGTGAGTAAAATATAAACATATCATTAAAACTAGAAAAGTATATAGTATAACTTTTTAGATCTTAGTGGAGTAACATCAATTAATCTCAACTACACTGAAAGAAAAGCCGTGCGTAATCAATTAACAGCTAATTTATTAAAGGAATTACAAAGCATAAATAACTTCAGTAGTAAATTGCGTACAGAGCTCCCAGAATTAATTAGTGATGGTAATACGTTACACACAGAGATTTTATATTTGGAAAAGCAGAGACGGGCTAATTTGGAGAATATGATACAACTGCGAAATCGCAAGTGTAATTTTCTTAAAGTTGTCGCAGAACTAAAAATGGGTCCATACTTAGCCTGTGAGTTGGAAGTTATGTTTGCAAATGCTCGTCATAATCAAACAAAAGTCAATATCCTACGCGGCTACTTTGTAAATGAGTTGCTAACTCGCACCGAACACAATTTGAAAGCCATACGTGAGGTAGAAGGCTATATTAATGATGCTATGGAGAAGGAACAAGAAATTAGTAATTAAAAACAGTTTTGCTGGTTCAATAATATTAAGTCTTGGTTTTATTTACTTTTTACTTTTTTAAATTAAAACTTTATTAAATATTAATAGATTATTGCATATATTTTTTAAAAGCATTTTTGGCGATATTTAAAATTGATGAAATACCTATGTATGTATGTATTATTAAAAGCATGAATGTTTGCTTCTAGTATTCTTAAAAGATATATGATGTTGAAGCAATTTTAGCATTTTAGACTAATCTCGTGCTGACTCCTATGATGATACTGATTCCACACTTCAGTTTCATCATAATCCGCTTTAATTGTGAAAAAGTTAACATTATGTGTAAAAAATGCAAATAAAGTTAATGAAATTACCTTCTTTTCCTTATGGGAATTTACACTCAAAATACATTGTCTATAAACTAGCTTAAAGTCCCCTAAATGCAATTTGACCAGTATAAGCTATATGGACAATAGTCGAGACTATATACTAGTGTATAGTCTAGTCTAACGTCCATAAGTAGTACCACTCTTGACTTGATTATAGTCATTCTAGTTATTATAATTATATTATAGGTATATTATAGTCAATACTTTACACTAAAAAGAAGAAATCTTCAAATATCAGGTAGGAAAATATTTTTTATTTCGAATACATAATAAAATAAAATTTCCTCTTAATTGGTTTTTGGTAAGTACAATCGAATGTGTGTATTTAAAGGTGGAAATATATTCTAAAGCGTAGAATATGTAACATGCTCTAATAATTCATCTTCTTCTAGTTTTATTCTCATCACCATGTCTGTTACTTGCTGCATAGCCTTTATTTGGTTCCGACTATTCATGCTGCATATTGTAGATACAATCATTTCCCCAAATGCATGAACAGCAGGATTAGCATGTCTAGCTTCATTAAGTTCACAGGCTTTTTTCAAAGTTTCTACAGCTTCACAAAAACTTTTATCAACATCAGGATTAGACGTTTTAAACTTTTTATGCCGCAATGGTGGTTCAATCAATGGATCATCAAATATTTGGGTAAACTCTTCACAGTTAACGGGTGAAGCTGTTGGCGATACAGATGGTGACGTATTTGGTAAATGCTGAGCTGGCGAAGGTGGAGGTGAACGCTTCTTAAATAAAGATGACATTCGAATACTTTGTCCTCTGCCTCGGAGTCTGAAATATAGGTAGGTGTTAACTAACAATTATATATTTAATTGTTAAAAGCTTTAGGAGAAATCTAGTTTGTGCGCCACCGTTGCTCAAAGAGGTAATTTATTTGATGCTTCTCAATGAACATTTTATGTGTGTACATATGTATCTATTACTGACATATTGGTGTGGAGCTTGAAAACTAGAGTTTAACCAAAGCATTCATGTATGTATTCAAAATTACGGTCTAGATGATATATGAGGCCTTAAAAATTCCATCATCTCAAAGTAGGGCCAGAAATGTATATTCGTATCAGATTCGGATGATTGTTCTCTTTTCTTTATCTCTCGTGTGAACCGATCCCTTAGACTTGTCCATCTTCTTATTGCTTCCTCCTCTAAAACGAACGACATAATAATTCATCAAAGCACTTCATTGTTTCTAGACAAGGTCCTTCAACCTATCGGAAGTACCCAAATACCATTTCAATAACTAATTTTTTCTTTGCATATACCTGTTGATTCCATTTCATGAGCTATTTCGATCCAAGCTTCCTTTTTTCTGTCAATTGATTTGTATAGTGGATTGTACTTGTTCCAAATTTCATTTTTCTCTTGAACAAGAAAAATTAATTTTTCGTCGTCCATCGTGTGCTAATATTATTTTTTGTTAGTGCTCTATTAAAAAGTTTATTTTTTGATTTTAAACTTCGATATAGTTACGAAATATTAAAAATCTCTACGTTAATTTACGATTAATTATGTATATTTTGTTTTTCCTTAATAATCAGCATTTTACGATTGTTTTTGTGTTGTTACGGCACGTCACCATACGTCTATGCACGTATGTATTTTCTTATACTTTCAGAAGGTTACGACGCGTTTGTGTTATTTTACATTTATGGGACTGAAATTAGTGATGCCATTTGTACAATATTTAGTACCAAAGAACATGTTATTCTCATATTCACATCCAATATTTACATTTATTAAAATTTTGATATCTTGTGGTTTTATTTTTAATATGATTATTGAGAGGCGCATTACTGTTTATTTATTGTTTTCAAAGTATATTAATAAAGTAGCGACATCTCTTGTTGTACAACAACATCTACAACAACCACATGTATTTTGTTTTTGGAATAATTTAAGATTGTGTCAAAATAAAATTTCCTTGAACAACAATGTGAACAAAACATAAATAAAAAATATTACTTTTAAGTTAAAAATATTAACAATTTAATTATATTATTATATATTATACAATTTATTACACTTTTAAACTACTTTAAAACCACTTTTAATTCACTTTTTCAACTTTTCACAAATTTTAACAAATAGCAAAACACAATTTAAAAATGGCGACGTAAACAATGTTAACAATTTTCAAAACAAACTTTGACAACTTGCTTCATTTATCTAGTTTAAAAAAAATAGTCAGCTGTTCAAGTGATGCTACTTTATTAATATTCTTTGATTGCTTTTTATATGTATTAGGATACAATAACTTAAAAGTATATTTATTAATTTGACCAAATCAAATATTTGTAGTAAAGGTGGAAGTACACAACACGCGTAGCGCTTTTCAAAAGTTTCATGCTTTACAATCTGCAAGTTACACACCACGCGTCATTTTGATCTTTCTTTATATCGTCACCTAAAACGCAAACGGCCCTATCTAACATATAGAGTTTGACAACTTCGGTCTAAGTTTCCATGGACAAAACAACAATCAGCTGTTGAAATGACTTCACCTTATTAGTTTCGCCATGGTACCAATACTTTGTAGGGTTCTATAGTTGAAACGAAAAGTCGACTTTTCGATTTTTTGCATTTAGTTAAAAGTCGACTTTTTGTATTTTATGAAAAGTAGATTTTTCGACTTTTTCATTAATTAAAAGTCGACTTTTAGTATTTTATAAACAGTCGACTTTTTCTGACTTTTCGGCTTTTTCCGTCTTTTCGATTTTTTTCGACTTTATAACTATTTTCGACTTCTTTCGACTATTTTAGAGTTTTTGACTTTTTTTTCCAATTTTCGACTTTTCCCGACTTTTTGACTTTTTACGACTTTTCGACTTTTTTCGACTTTCCGACTTTTATTTACAAATTCGACTTTTTTCATAGACGATAGTCGAGTTATTGACTTTTTTGGAACAAAATTGTCGACTTTCGAATTCGAAAGTCGATTTATAGAACCCTACTTCTATAAATGTATATGTAAAAAAATATTCGAATAATCGATATTGTAAATAAGTCAAAAAAGTCGATAAGTCAAAAGAGCCGGAAAAAAATTATTGTAACGGACGGACATATACTTTTTGTCCTCTAAAATCAAGTTAAGTTTATTTGAGTCTTTTAAATATTCATACATATAGAAGTTACAACAGATCTGATATAAAGAAAACTTAAAATTATGTTTTGTTTTAATACAAAATATTGTTTACAGCAACAAGCTTGACAGTTTATGCAAATGTAGTGTTGTGGTTGCTCCCGGCACAACATAATTTGAAAATTTTATTAATGGTGTACTTAACACTAAACTTAAAGCTAAAGTAGTAAAAAAAACAAAATAATCAACCTCTATGGGCCCCTGGAATTTTGGAAATATAAAATTTTGGCAATGTATTATTAATGCATAGTACTTCATGCTCCAAATAACGTAGTGGTGAGTAGTAATAGGTATTAAACCAATTCAAACCATTCTGATCGTTTATGACATCTTGTATTAAGACATTATACAGATGAAGCAGAGTCTATAAAACTTTTCATTAAACCAAAAGCATATGTAGCTAATGGTTTAATGTTTGCCAATTCATAAATATATTGATTCGAATATCTTTTATCATTATCATCAAAATGTTTGTTAACACAGAGTCTAAGAATTTTGCGCTGAAAAATTTGAGATTCTTTCATTACAGTGGGTGAAATCGTAAACCAAATTGAGAAAGCAATAAAGTAGTACTGGCCTAATACTTACTTTATAAATTAATAATTTGGTCTTTTGTGGCAGATATTTACTATTGAACATTCTTCCAAAAGAAATTTTTATACCTCCAGCTTTGTTTAGAAATGTTCTAGCATGTTGTTTAAGATAAATACAATTTAAGCTGTTTACTTTCAGGAACAACAAAATTCCTACATTTACCAGATGCATTTCTTAAACAAATGGCCTGACTTATGGACACATTAATTTTTATTCCCCAAAATTTATAATAGCAATTAACTTCAATTAGATATAATGATATCGAACTTAGGGTATCCTTTGGGAAGATACCGTGAGTATAAAGTAACGAGTCATCAGCATATAAAATACCAGTTGAAATATCAAATTAATTTGGGAAATCGTTATTAAATTTATTATATAGATGAGGAGCTAAAATTGAACCCTGAGGTACACCACATTTAACATCACCAAAATCAGAATATTCATTTTGTAATTGAACCCAGAATTTTCTATTTTCAAAAAAGTTTTGTATTAGTTTAATGATAAATGGATCAAAAGCAATGTTAATCATTTTAAATATGTATGTATAATTCCATCGTGCTAAGCATGATCAAAAGCTTTTTCTATATCGATAGAAACAGCAACAGTACATTTTCTTTCCCTTAAATTTTTAACAACGTCATTTTGGAATTTTAATAGAGCATGATTAGTGACATTTTTAAAAACCAAATTGATAATTTGGAATATAAGAATTTTCCATATTCATTTCCATCTTAACTCGATTTTTTTGTTCTCTAAAATCAATATTGTTACAAACGTACATAATAACAAAATCAATATAAAACAAGTAAGAGTGCTATATTCGGCTGTGCCGAATCTTATATACCCTTCACCATAGTGTATTTAAAAAATATAAATTTTATAAAATTTAAATTTATGTACCTATTTAATTTTCCCGATTATATCATTATATATAGCAAAACAAAATGAACAACAACAACGCTAAACGAAATAAACACTCAAAAAACAAAATACACAAGGCAGTAAAACCAACAAACGAAACTGTACTCCAACAAACAAAAACAATATACACAAGGCAATGAAACACACAGCCATCCAAACATACAAAACTGAATACACCAAGAAACAAAACAATATACACATGCCAATGAAACATATACCCTTCTCACGAAGGTGAAGGGTATAAAAAAAATAAACTTTTTCGCATTTTTAAAGATTATTTTACAAAATTTAATATACGGTCTCCTATTATACTACAGACGATTGTGTGTTGAAATATTTAAAATCGGTGCATTATTTCACTTATGTGGGTCCCATACAACAGCAGAGTTAAATAACACTTTTGAGCACATAATTTCGTTAAATATACTAATGTTTCTACAAAAAGCCTGGGATCTATAATTTATATGATCGTCAACCGTACTGCCGATTTTTGTAATCATTGGGCCTCATTTGACCGTAGCCCCCATACAAGGTAATTTTTCAGCAAATTTTTATACAACGTAAATCTCATCAGAAAATTTCATGAGGATCGCTCCATATTTAATTCTAGTTTCCATATAAAGCAGGGATCAGATCAATAAATTCACGTGGTACTCCTTTGCACTGCAGCGATTGCCAAATAGCCTGTTAGTGTCATTATTCTTCGGAACTCACGACATATTTGAGAAAATCTCGATGGCTCCAGAAGCGATGTTATATTCCATGTTCCAAATCGTGTCCTTGTTTTAAAGCCAAAAGTCGTCAACAGTTGGTGTTCATTATGGTTTTCATCAGTATTTAATAAGGAAAATATACCTCACAATTGCAAAAAAGTTGCAATTATTTATACATTGCTCAGCCCACTTTTTTATCCATTTTAAACGTTCGAGTTTGAAAAACCTCTATTGCGAAAGAGATCTATACAATGCCAAAAATATTGGGTTGAACGACGATAAATCAGTCATTATATAAATAATTGCAATTGTTTTGCAAGTGTGAGAGATACTTACTTCCCTTCCCATTTTTCTCCTAATATAGAAATCTTGAAATATAAATCGTCGAGAGTATCAGATGTTTAGGCTTGATCTTAGATCGTCGTGTTTCTTTTGAGTGTCATATCGACAACGATATAAAATTTGTAGAATATTGCGTAAGTTATGTATGTATTAGAGATCAAAAAAACTATTTAATTCGTGAAATATTGTACCAAACGACAATGTATCTTCCATAATACGTTTTTTAACAGCCTTAATAATTCCTGCCTATGAACAAATTTTAATATTTTGCACATTTAGCGATGTTTTTAAGATATCTAAGTTAATATGTTGTTTTGTTCAATAGAATAAAAATTTCTTGTAATAATATGCGTTATTTTATAATTTTATGAAATGTTTTTCAAGCGATATAAGTCAATCCAGTAATCCAATAAGTTACATTTATACCGAGTACATACATATGTATGTACATATATAATTAGGAAAACTCATGGCATATCTGCTCGTTTATTATTCCTTATTCACCAGTTTTGTGATCCGCATGTTCATCTTGTTAATATACAAAACAATTTTAAGTTTTAAAAATGTGTAAAACTGGAAGTTAGCACTTATTTTCTTCAATAAAAGTTTATCTTTGAGATAGCATATTTACAAAAATTGTTGTTAGAAGTGCAAAAATTACTTTTTATAATCATAATCACGTCCAGGAAACTGAGTTTCTGAACATGGAAAAAATAATACATTCAGTGAACAATTTTTTTTTCTTGAATTGGAGCGCACAACAGGCCCGATAGTGGCCTAGGTGTATTTCTTCAGATTTGATGTAGTATACGTCCTCTTATCAACCTAAACCTATTAATCATGCATTGAGGAATCTTTGGCATCAAAACTTCCTTTGCCCAAAATTGAGTTCGCACTTTTTGAATATGACGATATGCTTTGGCCAAAAAGAGCGTATGTGCCAAATTTCATCTAATTATCTTGAAAATTGCGACTCGGACACGATTCTTTAAGGTGAAATATTTTGTTGTATCAGCACAAATCCAATATACTCTCCCCACTTAAGTGTTGTAGGC